CAAGGATCAATTCTCTATTTGCTCTTCAATAGAATTTTCTAGACCAAATCACAGCTAGAAATGTAAAGGTGCAGGGAAGGACCAGCCCAATCTTTTCAATATTTTGTATAAAGGACTTAGAAAGTTGTAGCAACAACTTTTAAAAGAAAATTATCCAGACCAATTGATCCATTTTCCACTTTACCAAAACTTGGTGAGAAAGCCAATGCAAGTCTTTTATTGAAAGACAAAGAGGGAAAGAAATCAGAAGAGGAGTGGGGAGACAGAAATATAAGGATATAATTATCTGACCAGGAGTAAAAGGAAGGAGAAGACAGCACTGGGTGATAAAAAGATATGCATTAAGTGAAGAGCTGTGTTCCTACTTTTTGAACAGGGAACAGATAAGTGGCGTGGGCGCTGGGGTTGGCGGTGTGCCAGGAATGTTGGTAGCTGGAGAAACATGGTCCATTGGGGTAGGCAAAATGATACTGGCAGATTGGAAAGCATCTTCTCCTCATTTCCCCACCCTTGGCTTCCAAAGAAATGCTAGAGCAGAAGCCACCGACACAGCCCATTTGGATGAGTCATTATGCAGTGGGCACTGAGAAGGTGCCCTCTGGAGGAGTCCTGGGCACCCGGGGCTGGATTTGGCCCATCTGGTTTGAATGAGGCAAGGGAAGCGGATCTCAACAGACTCGATGCTGTCTGCCTTCCCGCTAGTGCAAGCGAAGTCAGGGTGGGAAACAATGGTCTGCCCCCAAACCGCAGGGAAAGATGGCTAGAGGATGCCACCACCACATCCTGTACAGGAACCATCACATGGCTAAGAGCAACATGTAAAAGAGAGAAAATATTTTTTTTTCTACAACTACAATAGTCCTCTTTTTCAACTTAGCTTGCCTAATTATCTTCAATTTAAAATTTTAATTATTTATACTCTTTCTCAACTCATAAGGAATCAAAACCAACACACACACACACACACACACACACACACACGTATAGCGTGAAAATGTTCTTTAAATTAAGAATAAAGTCCAGAGGGACTTCCGGTCAAGATGGCGGGTAGGTAAATGCGGTATCGAGTCCTCCCACAACCAATCAAAGTTACAACTAAACTACAGAACAACCATCATGCAAAACCGCCTGAAATCAAGCTGAACGGAAGTCCTACAACTATGGGATTAAAGCAGCAGCCACACTGAGACTGGTAGGAGGGCGGAGGGGACGGGCTGGTCCCACACCCACGTGTGGCGGATAAAAATCAGGGGGACACCTCGGCTGGGAAGGTCCTTCCTGAGGACTGAGGGGTCCCCGTCCCACACCAGGTGCCCTGCTCAGGGTTCCAGTTCCAGGAAGAGAATCCCCATCACTTCTGGCTGGAAAACCAGCAGGAACTGAAGCTCAGGGAGGCTGAGGGGCTGGAGCCCCAGGCAGCTCCTTAAAGGGCCCGGCACGGACTTATGGGACTCTCTCCCTCTGAGCTTGGAGGGGAGGCAGCTCGAGGGGTGCCAGAGACACACAGGGAAGAACTGAGCTGTTTAGCACTGGAGCGAGGGCTGGAGAGGGGGCTTTCTCCGGGACAGACGTGCTGTCAGAGGCCTTTGTTCCTTTGGTGAGCCCTTCCCTGGGGCGGCAGACAGCCGCCATATCTGGGACTCCAGCAACCTGGCTCACACTGGTAGCCCCGCCCTGCTGACTCCCTGAGGCCCCGCCCCGCCCAACTTTCAGGCCCACCCATGCTGTTGCCACTTGCTTCACCATAGGATTGGCCTGTCTTGGATCCTGCTTCAGGTTTTCCCTAAATTCTTTCAAACGAGCAGCATCTGGTCTCAGCTAGCTCCATACCGCTCGTTAAGTAATACACAGAAACAAACACAGGGAGGCAGCCAAAATGAGGAGACAAAGAAACAGGTCCCAAATGAAAGAACAGAATAAAACCCCAAGAAAAGAACTAAGCGAAATGGAGATAAGCAACCTAACAGATGCTGAGTTCAAAATACTGCTTATAAGGATACTCAATGAACGTAGTGAGAACCTCAGTGAACTTAGTGAGGGCCTCAAGAGCATAAAAAAGGACCAGTCAGAATTGAAGGAGGCATTAACTGAAATAAAGAATAATTTACACAGATTCAATACTAGAGTACGTAAATCCAAGAAGCAAACCATCGATTTGGAATATAAGAAAGCAAAAAATGCCCAATCAGAACAGCAAAAAGAAAAAAGAATCCAAAAAAATGAGGAGAGTGTAAGGAGCCTCTGGGACAACTTCAAGCGTGCCAACATTCGCATCTTGGGGGTGCCAGAAGGAGAAGAGTGAGAACAAGATATCGAAAACCTGTTTGAAACAATAATGGCAGAAAACTTCCCTAACTTGGTGAAGGAAACAGACATACAAGTCCAGGAAGCACAGAGAGTCCCAAATAAGATGAACCCCAAGAGGCCCACACCAAGACACATCATCATCAAAATGCAAAAGGTTCAAGACAAAGAGAGAATCCTAAAAGCAGCAAGAAAAAGGCAGCTAGTTACCTACAAGGGAGTTCCCATATGACTGTCAGCTGATTTCTCAAAAGAAACTTTGCAGTCCAGAAGGGATATTCAGAAATATTCAGAGTGATGAAAAGCAAGAACCTACAACCTATCGTGCAAAGCTGTCATTGAGAATCGATGGCCATATAAAGACTTTCCCAGACAAGAAAAAGTTAAAGGAGTTCATCACCACCAAACCGTTATTATATGAAATGATGAAGGGTCTTTTTGAAGAAAAAGATAAAATATATGACAAACAAAATGGCAATGAATACATATCTATCAACAATGGAATCTACAAACAAAATGAACAGGTAGAACAGAAACATTCTCATAGATACAGAGAACATTTTGTTGGTTGCCAGATAGGAGGGGGTTGGGAGAATGGCTGAATAGGTAAAGGGATTAAGAAGTACAAATTCATTGCTAGACTGACAAACCTCAAAGGGAAAGGGGTTGGGGGGTGGGAAGAAATAAACCAAAGAACTTATATGCATAACCAATGGTCACAGACAATAGTGTGGGAAAAGGCGGGAGGGGGGCGTGAGTGGGGAGGAGGGGGTCAATGGGGGAAAAATGTGGAACATCTGTAATACATTCTACATTCAACAATAAAGATTTTTTAAAATAAATAAATAAATAAATGTTTAAATAAATAAATAAAGACCAGAGGAAATATAAACTAGAACTGAAAGTCTAGTCTGGGGTGAAGTAAAATATCCTCAAAACAGTATTCTACAAAGTTCTCAACGTTAAGCAGTTAACCAAGCAGTCAAAGCGAAAAGAGAAATAGAACCAGTTCCATGATTCTCAGGTTCACGAGGAGAAAATAGTTCCACACCTCAAGGGAAGCAAACTATTTCCTGGAATTCAGATCTGCGAGAATTTCCTCCCACGGGATTTATTGTAGGAGATCATAAGGACAATGTGATGGGGACCATCTAAAATCAAACCCTACCATGGGCTTCCCAAAGTGTCCTCTGAGGAAAATCAAAGGACTGAAGTGGACGCCACTCTATCAGCAATGAAGACATATGAGCCCAGGACACACCTTTCATGTAGTTCAGTTTAGTCTAAGAAGTCAACCTCAATTGTCTTGAGGAATAAATGCACTTAATCCCTTAGTCTTTCACACACGCCGTGCCTGCCGGGAGGGCTACATTTGCTGCTTAACCAGAGGAAATTATTTGACTTTTTGGTTTGGAATTCTTCTTCTCCCTTGCTATTTCCATGGGTTTACTTTTTTAAAGAAAGCTATTTCTATTGCAATAAAGTATAGACTATACACCTTTTACTTTTAGTGTGTTCATTTCTTTAAGTGCTTAGGACAGTGTCTGGAAAATACATGCTAAATAAGTGTTTACTTAACAAAAAAGGCCCTTCCTGTCACTGAGGTGGTGAGGATTGGGGCACCAAGTATGAATGATAAATTAATTAGAAACCAACAAAATGAGTTGCTGGAGATTTTATGCTCCTCTTACTGTACACTTCACCTCTCTTCATGCTTTTTCTAAAGCAGCACGGACTGAATACAAGCCTTTGCCTATTTTGATGTGAGACCATGGCATGGAAAGCTTGGGGCAGCGGGAGTATTAGAACCTCCCACGGAGGAGGATTTGAAGGTTCTGAAACGCTCAGAGAAATATCAGAGCCCTTTAAAATGTCTTTTCCAGGTGGAACAGCTGGGACTTCAGCATCCATTACAACCTAGCCGGTCCTTCCTATCAACTAACTTTCACATGTAAGACCCTCTTCATGAAATGTGTCTCATTTGTTGTTGAGTACATTTTGGGCATTCAATAATGCTCTGTAAAAACAATGAAAAAAATGCTAAAAAGCTTCATTATCACGCTTACTTATGACCTCATTTCCCTTCCCTAATCTTATAAAGTGATTTGAAGATGCCCACACAAATTACAATAAAACTGAGCATGTTCAGGAGGGATTCATAAAGTGGGTTTTCTACACTTGTAAGAACAAAGAATCCACTCTGACAGCTGTTCGATAATATAACTAGGAAGTAACTTGACCATGGAGGCCTACTGGGCAGATTGTGGACATCAGACAGTTACAACCTGGGTCAAAAGCCAGAGAAACCCCTCCACTACTGTCTCTCTGACGCTTGTCTTCTGCACCCACCACCGTGTAAGGCTTGCTATTAAATATTTACTTAGGTAAAACAGCTAGTTTTGAACAGAAAACATCTGTGAGTTTATCTGACTCAGGTTCAAAAATTGGGTAGCGTTTTTTTTTTCTTGAAACCTCTATTTCCGTTTTTCCCATGATTTTTCTAGCTTTAGATTCTATCACAATCAGGGATTATCCGTTTGTTTAAACATTAGACAGACGTTTGCAAATGGGTAAAATACTGCGGAGGGGCCAGCCCACATCAGCAATCAGCCTGCAGTGCCACCGGTTCCACCAGGAGCTTCCACCAGGCGTCAGGGGGCACCTGTCAAGGCGTCTGTCCATCCGAGCGAACCTACCCGCTTGCTGCTCTCCTCCTCCTGAGCCTTCCTGAACTCATGCTCCAGCGAGCAGTCCAGCTCATTGAACAGCCCCACTTCCTCGCAGTTCTTCAGGAATCTCGTGGGGGTCGGAGTCTGATCTGCAAACAGAGACCGAGGGATCATTCGTGGGATCTTTTCCTCAAAAGCCAGTGGGAAGCAAACGCTAAATTCACAACTCCCTGCCCCTTGCCTTCATTAAGATGCCGACTGGCCATCCAAAACCTCCCAGCCCTTTCAATAAAACGAGAATGTGAAAGAAAATAAAACTGTAAGTCCCAAAGGAGGAACACAGTTGCAGTAGGTGAGGGATTCCCAACCCTCCCTCCGTCCAACTTCAGGAGATGCCCCCTCTCTCTACTCTCTGGGTCTATAGCATTTGAATAATAACGCAAGCTGTGGAATAACTTGTTTCTAACTGGGAAAATAATTAGCTAAAATGGGCCCAAAAAATCCGCTGAGCCCATGTTAAGCCTGATTTCAGGGGGCTAGAAGAAAAAAAGATTTTGTAAATTTTTGTAGCAAACAAAAGAAACACACAGGCATGTATATTCCTGAACATCGAGCAATTGTCTCTCATTTTGAGAGTCACAGAGCATGATGGAAGTCATATACATTCAACTCCTGCCCCTTAGAAATATAACTATTATTTTAGTTTTCCTTGCTATAGCTAAAAGAATGTTCTGAGAGTACTCTTTAACAGGAATAGAATTTCTTTCAGATTTTGACTGTCTAGAGAGAAAACTGGAGGATCTGAAGCCACTCTTTGTGGCTTGATATTTATGCAGTTTCCGAAATATTTCCACACATGTAATTGTAGATTCCTCTACATTTAGATCTCCCAAGATCCTGTGAAATAAGTAAGGTGCATATTATTTTAGAAATGAAGAAATAAGTTCAATAACTTGCACAAGGTCACGCAAATTGTAACCATCTAATCACTGTGAAGTCCTCTCTTCCCTACAGACATAACCCCTTCTCTCTGAATCCTCTGCTCTGCCCAGACCCCTAGCTCTGAGGACCCTGTTGTATGTGTAAGAGACAATGCTGACGGGCCAGAAATCCAGATTTGAAACCATGTGATTTGGGGGAAATTACCTACGTTCTCTAGACTTCATATTCCTCATTTTCAAGTAAAGTTCTAACGTTATATGATTCTGTGAATCCTAAAATCACCGTCGTTTAATGGGGTCCCTTCAAAAGTCACGGTCATTAGGTCAAAGAAACATATGATCATTTAAAGGATAGCTAAATGGGGATATAAGTAACAGCTGGTTAGATACTAGAAATTAGACAGATAAAGAAACTTTCTGAATGAAAGGTGTAAACAGACAATACTTGAAAGTGAAAATAAAAGACTCTGTGTGTGTGTGTGTGTGTGTGTGTGTGTGTGTGTGTGTACGTATTCTTCAATTTATTGGGTGCTCACTCTGTCAGGCATAGCGCTAGTGCTTTGTGTGCACCATCTCATTAATTTTCACACCAATCACATTAAGTAAAAATTATTTTTCCCATTTTGCTTAGGAAGAAACTGAAACTCACCCCAGGACCCATTTAGAAATTGAGTCACATAATTGTATCAGTCATTGATAATCCTAACAATCCTTGGTTCTTTTGAAATATATGGGCATCATTTAATCCCTCCTACAACAGAAATGCATGACCATCCCACGGACACTCTACTGTCTTACAGAAACATTTTTTGCAACCAAAAAACCTGAGAAAATATTGCATAAGAGAACTGAAATATTGGACCACTTGTCATCCATCAGAATTTCGTTTTCCAGGTATTATTTTCCTTTTATTCCCCTATGATTCTTTGTTGGAGATTTGCAAGTTGAGGGCCATGATTGCAGGAGAGAGAATAGTCATCCTGGAGGCTCTAACTCCTGGGTGCTGAGACAAGGTCCTGAGATGGCCATGAAACTGAATTCAGGCTGGCATGGGGGGGGCCAATCCCCAAGCAAAGTTGGCAGATGTTTTATGTCTCCCCCAAAGCAAAATCACTCCCAAACACCAGCACACGCCCACGTCCATCGGCAAAGGAGGCTGAAGAAGCATGACACTGGGACAGTGATGTCACTGTCTGTCGTCATGGGCAACAAAAGCTAGGGAACAAGGGGAGCCATGGGCTGTAAACAGAGTTGGGTCCCTCCTGTCCCTAGTGCAGACGAAGGCCCCAGAGTTGTAACCAAATGTGACTTTCTTTGCTGTATGATATAGTGAGAGAAAAACAAAACAGATATCTCTATCCACATTTGGAACAGATAAGGCACACTGTTCCTAATTTTTTATTCATTTTCTTCTTGTGAATGAGCTATTCTTTCCAGTTACAACAGGAACCAGACAATGGAGCTTAACTTTTGTTTTAACATTTATTAGAATTAATACAGGGTCTCCAGTTGTCTTTGATCCCACATGGTACCAGTTCCAAGTAAGCCAGGAAATGTGCAAATCTTCAAAAAGGGAACAGCTAAATCTATCAGCAGCTTAAATAAAAGAGGCAGAGGTTCTTCGCCACATGAATGCCTTGTCAAATAACTGTTCCAGCTGAAATTAGACCTGGAGTAAGTGGGTAATGTCCATGGCCATAAATTAAAATTCTTGTAAACCACACCCTATTTAAAACTGAGCGCGTACACTGGTTAGCTACAGCAGCAGTTTCCATATCCTGAATGGTGGGGCCAGGCATTTATTGGTGGGTAGCATCTCCAGTGTGTTCAGTAGGCCGCACTCCGAGGCCCTACAGGAACGGGCTCAGTGGGAACTCGGAGCCGAGATGATTGCTGAAGGGCTTCTGCTCTCCTTTCTTTTCCTGTCTCCACTTCAGTGAGGACCATCTGAAGGACAGAAAGGGATAACCCCATATTGCGAAGGAAACTGAAAGCTAATAACTGGTGAGTCTGAACGTGACCCGAGTAGAAAGTGTTCTGTTGTGAGTGCCTTTGTAAATCTGAATCTGCGCTGCCTAAGCACCTGCGTGTTGCCTTCTCGCAGACACTCTGCAGACAGCACCGTGGTCGTGGGGGACACCTGGGGCCACCATGAGCAAGAAATCTTACAATTCTTCCCGCTCGCCTCACACATCCTCGGGGTTCTCGTTACCCAACAGACAAGAAAGATTTGGCACCAGAAGGGATTAAAAAACCCTTTGTAGCCCTGGCCGGTTTGGCTCAGCGGTTAGAGCGTCGGCCTGCGGTCCGGAGAGACCCGGGTTCGGTTCCCGCTAAGGGCATGTACCTCGGTTGCAGTTTGTCCCCGGCCCTGGTTGGTCGTGCGGGTGGCAGCCACTCGATGTGTCCCTTCACATCGATGTTTCCCTCTCTCTCTCCCTCCCACTCTATCTGTACAAAAAAATGGAAAAATGTCCTCGGGTGAGGATAAAAAAAAACAAAACAAACAAAAAAAAAACCCTTTGTAAAGCTTGTCATTCTTCAATATCTAATTCCCTTCCTGGGGTGGTGAATCTGGTTCTTGGAAAAAGGAGCACCTTTTCATAGAATCGCTGCCTCTGTAGACAGTGAGGTCAAGGACACTTGCCACTCGGAGACCCTACTTGTATGTCTACCTGGAAGAGTGTCACAAACTTAACATTATGATTTAGGAATTCACCCATCAGTTATACAGTGGAAATCCTGTACCACATGGCATCTGGGAAGGAAAACAAGTTTATGGCCAGAACTATTAGAAAAAAAAAATAGTAACTCATTAAGTTTTCCAATCCATAGTCTGCCTACCATCAAGTGTTTCAGCCTCAGCAAGTATGATTATTCCAATGTCTAAATGACAAGCACAAAAGCCCGAAACCTGATTCTTCTTTTTAAAAGTGTTTAGTCTGCTCAAATTTAATAATAGGTTGCTACCTTATTCGGTTTCAGAACTGCGTGTGAGTTATGTGTTCGTCTATGTTTCATTTTCCTCAATGATTCAAAGAAGGCAGCGCAACAAGTCATCAATTTAAAAAAAGAAAAAAGAACAGAAAAGCAGAGTTCCCATCATGTACCAGAGGAGAAGAATGCGAACTTCCTAAGCAAAATTTTCTTCCCCGTTGGTCGGATATTCTTAACTATGGCATTACTAAAGGACCATGTAAAGTAATTTTACATCATTTCATATTAAATTGATGGTGGCTAGTAATTCTATAAAAGCCTCGCTAATTCAGACCAGTCATAAAGAAGATCAGTTTGAATTAGTGACCATTCTAATTATAGGGTATTTGTTTAAGGCAAGGCATTTTTATTATTTGCTTGACTCAATTTCAGCCAACACAATGTGGCTTAATGGAATTCTCAAGAGTGCACTTAAATCAATAGACAAAATAATTGGAATTAGCATATCTATTTTAGTAAGAGTTGGGGTTCTCAGAAAAGGCCTTTTTCTTAGATACTTTTTACATTCTTTTTTATAGTTATATTTATCCCATGAACTTTTCAGCAATGCTTTCTTTACGATGTTCTTACTTAATCCCTATCTGAACTTTAATAAAGCCCTTATTAAGAGGGTTTGTATTAAATACATTTGAAAATACATAATCCTTTATAAGAGCAATAATCAGTAACAAATGAAAGAATTCCATGGAATTTTAGATGGGCTTCTTTGCAATAAATGTGCCTTTTATTGAGTGTATGTACAATAGGAGCAATAGGGCCCTCTCGGTGACACTGACACTTCTATTTCCCTACATCAGTCCCAAGATGCAGTGCTACCATGAGACAAACCAAGGGAACTCTGGCTTTTAAACAACACTGTGGGATGCTCAAAAACTGACCATGGCTGGGGTGACCCGGGTCAGTGAGAGATGAGACGCACCCTCGTACTCTTGAATTGTCCGCCGGAATCCATGTATTGTTCGGGTGGACAGCTGGTGGACTGGAAACCCTCATAGTGCCTAGGAGTCAACCAGCAAAGGCTCTGACAAGGGCCTCTCTTAGGACACATGGCTCAGGGGCATAGATTTAGATTTAAATTAAACAAGTACATATTCTACATCTACTCACTGTCAGCCATGGCCTACCCCAAGTGTTCCAACAGCAATCAATCCACAGTTTTAATTCCCTTCAGAAGAGCTGAGCTGGTGAGAAGGGTTATTCATTAGCGCAGC